GCAGGGCGAAATGTTGGGCAACTTTCCTTACTCCACACACCTCTGTTTACCCGGCAGAAAGTAGGAACCTGGTTGTTAGTTGATTGTCGGATCGCTTTCCTGGGGGTAATAATTCCTTTTAAGAAAAAAAATTGGTCACTTTAATGCACGACCGTTTTTTGCGACGCTGTTGTGTGCAATTGGCGCCCACAAAACAGTCAATTCACTTTACAGTATATTCTGTGAAGCGCTTTGAAACGTCTCGAAGACGTAATAAGTCTCTATACCAAATGCAATGAGTATTATTATATTCTCTCACTCTTCAAGACTCCTTGTCTCCCTCAGTCTTCCCTTCCTGCATCACTCAGCAAACCGCAGGAATACTCAGTGATGGGTTACAGCAGTTTGAAGTCTTCTCTCCCTGAAGCCACTTCTCCAATTTACCACAATAGGCTGATATAATTAGATATTCCAAATTGATGTACCCATTGACCTGCCAGAGGAACAAAAGTTCCAGCGACCTGCAACCTCCACAGCCAAGCTCCTGCATTCGCCTGCGTGAAGCGTGTTTTTGGGACGTCCTCCTGACGTGAAAGGCGCTATACGAATGTAATTTGCTGCTGTTGTAGTGCAGCTCTGTACTCAGAAGTCTCCAGCAATGTAATCCGCTGCCCTGAGTAACTGAACCATACTCAAAAATTCCCAGCTCAGTGGCTGTAAGGTTACACAGCTCAAGCAGGTTTGAGCCTAACCTCTAATACTAGAACCTCTAATACTAGACCCGGACAGCACCAATCTTCCCGGCTGAGCAAGCATGTATTGTTCCCTGATCCCCTGGGCATTTGTGTTGTGGTAACCATGAGAAGACTGCCCAGCTCCAGGCCATGTTCACAGGCCACGTACAGGTCAATCTGAAAATGTATGAAGTCCCTAGCGTAGTGGTTAGCGCACGCGCGAGGACCCGGGTTCGATTCCTGGGTGGGACAAAACCTTAGGCAAGCTTCCTTGCTCCACACGCCACCGTTTACCTAGCAGTAAGTCTTAAATGACCTTATTCTGTGCTGTAAATATATGAAACAATACAATTTATGTGTACGCAGCGAGTTTTGCATTGGGCGGAGGTTCTCAAAGCGCTTGACACTTCTGGCCAGTCATCTGAGCTGGGGGTGGGACCTGAAGAGGGTGGAGAGGGGGAAGGATGACTGGAACAGCAGTCAAAGAGGTAGGTCCTCAGATGGGCCTGGAATGGGAGGAAGGAGGGAGAGAGAAGGCGGGTTGGAGGGAGTTCCAAAGAATGAGGGCAAAATGGCTGACGGCTCATCTGCCAATGGTCGGGGGGAGGACATAAAGTAGGACAGTGTTCGCTGAGTGATGGGAACAGCCGGGTCAGTAGGATTTCAAGAGATCACAGACCGTGGAGGGATTTGAAGGGGAGAACGAGGATCTTTTGAACTCGAACTGCTGGGAAGGTGGGAGACAATATGGCCATGCAAGGATGGGGGTGCTAGGCTTGCGGAGCCTGGTGCGGGAGAGGACCAGGACTGAGGAGTCCTGCACAGCCGGCAGCTTGTGTAGAGAAGAGCTGAGGAGTCCGGTGAGCAGGGTAGATAACGTTCAGGGGAGAGATAGTGGCAAAGGAGGAAATATCTACGTTATGTAACGTGCTTCAGGAAATGTTCTTGGCTACCGACTGTGCTCTTTGGCAGCAGAATCGTTGGCAGAATTTGTTGTGAAACATTTGCTGGTGTCTCTTACTTTCAACCCGGGCCCAAACCTCTTGAGTTTTTCCGATGTTCCAAAGTAAATTCCAACACAAAACCTGATTTTTAACAGATTTACTTCTGTTTTTTTTTTACATTTTGGATTATTTTCCCTTGATTTTTCTCCCTTTTTTTTTGACATGAGTGAGTGAACCAAGCCTTGGCTCCAGCTAACCTGCGCTTAATACTTTCCGGAATTAGGTAAGCAAGATGTCTCCCTCCAGAGAGAGAGAGCTCATACAGTCCAACAATCTAACTCTGGAATTTCCACGCGTAGGTGGGTTGCAACAACAACAACAACATCTTGCATTGATTTCGAGCCCTCCAAGCCGGCCAGTGTTTCCCAGAGTGCTTAATTTGCAAGGAATTCTCGGTTTAGTTGGGATCCTCTTGAGCATGGCGATGGGTTCCCGCACATGTCAGTCACCTGGCTGACCAAAAAACAAAGTGGACCCAGAAAAAATACCCTGATTTTTATTTTTGAACGATAGAAATCATCTTCAAATAGAACGTGTGTCAGCCTGGCTCAGCGATAGCACCCTTTCCTCTCAGTCAGGTTGTGGTGGACTTGGAATCACGTAGACTAAGCTTACGCCCCAATGCAGCTCTGGGGATGGTGGTGGTGGGGGGTGTTGTTGCATTGTCAGAGGTGCCGTTCTTCGAATGAGGTGTCAAACCGAGGTTTCGTCTGCCTGTTCAGCTGGAGGTTAAAGATCTCACGGCGCTATTTGTAAAGAGAAGGGATTTCTCTCTTTCCCTGTGTCCCGGCCAACAAATTTCCAAATAAAATGGCTGTTTGTGGGACGCTGCTGTGCACAAATTGGCCGCCATGTTCGCCCACAAAATACAGAGTCAATCCACTTTGCAATATATCCTGTGAAGCGCTTTGAGACGTCTCGACGACGTGATAAGGTGCCGTATCAAATGCAAGGTTTATTTTTTTATAAATATTGGATTGACTGAGTCTCTAATACATGCTATAGCTGACCTGGGAATGAGTGCTGGGTTGAGGAGTGCAGTGGGAGCTTTACTCTGTATCGTGGCCCTTGTGTAACTGATTTTATCTTGTGTTTGTCTGTATGAGAGAGAGAGAGAGAGAGAGAGCGTCCGTTTGAATGTGTGAGAGTATGTGAGAGAGAATGTGTTTGTGTGAGAGAGTGTCAGCGTGAGAGAGAGTGTCAGCGTGAGAGAAAGTGAATGTATCTCACAGCTCGGCACAGGGAAGCTTTAATATTTAATATACAGCCTCAGACAGACCCTCTGTAACGCTTTGGAATTTTAACTAAACTTAAGGCCTTGCGCCTGAGCTTGTTACCACCGTTACGATGGCACAGGTGCAGGCGGTAGCTGGGTTCTGAATCGTTTTAATGGTATTATTCACGGGGCTGGATATGAGGTGCTGGATTGGCTGCAGGAGCAAAGCGTGCCCTAGACTGCCTTTGACTGTGGTTTAATGCCTAATTAAAGAGCCTCTAGTAATCCTTTGCTATGGAAACCTCCATGTTAACAAAGGGGAAACTGAGGGGCGGGGGAGTGGGGGGCGGAGGGGGAAGAGGTTACCCGGTCTTGAGAATTGCCTTCAATAACAGTAATAATCCTTGCATCTGATACAGCACCTTCCATTGACATCTTAAAACGCTTCACGTTTGACTGTATTTTGCAAGCGAGCTCAGCGGTTAATTTGCGCATGGCAATGTCCCGCGAACAGCTGTGAAGTGAGTAAGCAGTTTTATCTGGGGGATTGTTGGACAGGACAGGACATTGGGAGGGAGCAACTCCCTTCTCTTTTCCACCCTCTCACCCCTGCGTGATCAATGGTCTGTTTTCTGTGGAGATAATCCGAGAAGGAACGTTTCCTTTCTCGTTGGAATGCCGAGGATCTTACTTAGATGGTGCAGATAACGTGGTAATAGTAAACCTGGTGTTTGGGGGTAACGCCTTCCATGGTGTGTGGACGGCTCTCAAATGCTTCACAGGATATACTGTAAATTGGAGCGACTGTATGTTTTGTGGGTGAATCACATAGCTCTGGGGGGTTACAGGCCAATCTTGTGGTTTGGATCTCGTTCCCCTGCAGTCTCTGAACTTGGCTTATACAACATACACACACAATAGAATAGAATAGTAAAGCGCCTTTCACGTCAGGAGGACGTCCCAAAGTGCTGGATGGACAGTCAGGGATTTGGACCTGAGCCAGGGAGTGAGTGGGGGAGGTGGGTTTGGGGTAAGGGAGGGCAAGAAATGACTGAATGTTTCAATTCTATTCGGAATCAGAAGTGACATTTTTCTGTGAAGCATCTGGGGGATTGTTGGCCAAAGGAGAATCTCTCTGTTTGTTTTTGCTAATGACGTTATTGTCCATCTGAACAGGAAGGTGGGACCTCGGTTTAACGTCTCATCTAAATCTCTGCCAACCCCGTGCCTCCTCCCCCCAGCCCTGCAATGGAGTGTTAGCTTAGACTGTGTGACCAGTGCCGGTCTTAAACTCACAACCTTCTGACTGAGAGGCGACCGAGCCAGGGTTTTCACACAGAGAGAATAAAGTTTCTCCCTGTGCCCTGGAGAAGGGGAGGGAGGCCTGGATGAGAGCTCAGACTCACACAGACCCTTACACAAAGCGTTTCTCAGGAAATCTGGTTCTGAGTGATCATGTAAATGGCAAATTGTTTATTTTATTAACCGAGTGGGAATCATAAAACGCTTGCACACGGGCAAAGAAAATATTTGCTTTATCCTTCCAGGCCTCCAAAGAATTTACTAGTGAGTGTTTGAGCACATGTGGCTGATCTGATCTGCGCTTGTTAAGGGTGTTTCAGGCTGCAATCTGATGAATGGCAAAAACGCAGCTGGCACCAGCAATATAGTGTCCCCTCCCTCCCTCCCTCCCTCATGCAATCCTGCCTTCCACACGCAGCCCCCACCCCCCTGCAGCAGCCTTCCTCCACAACCCCCTTTCCATCTGTGCACAAATCGGCTGCTGGGTTTGCCCTACAAGATAAACAGTCACTACACATTACCGCAAATCATGTGAAGCATTCCGGGACTCTACCCTGCGTGAGGGGCGCTTTGTAGTTAATTGCAAGTTGTTGTTGTTGTTGTTGTTTGTTGTTGTCTCGACGACACAATTACACTCTGCCGGTGTACCGAGGAGGGCTGTTATTGGCGCTGTATCGGTATCGCTCTCGGTGCCGTGAGTTCAGGACCCTGGGACTAAAACTCTAGCTTGTTTCCCCCCCCCCCACCCCAACCCTCCTCCCGCAGAGAACGAAGATTACTGGGAGCCGGAGCTCACAGAGAGCAGCCACATCCGCTGTCACACCCACGACAAGAAGTGCATTGCCAGGTACTGGGCGAGGATCCGGGAAAAATCCCACAGCAGCAGCCGCTCCAAGAACATCAGCCCCAGCCTGAGCCGGGACGAGCCACAGATAATGGTGAGCTGGGCATTCCGACACCGTTGTACTTTAAAATCCCACACAAAATACCATATTAAATAAGAACATGAGGAATGTCACGCCCTTAAATTACTCCACGTCACTCAATTCCCACTCCTCGTTCCTCGGACACTCCGCTCTCCTCACTCCCTTGGCTCTTGGGGTCGCAAGGGGGCAATTTCAGAACAGACACCAGGAGCTTTTGTTCACCCACAGGGTAATTAAAGACTTGCCCAGGAAAGATGGCCGAGGACACAATGCTGGGACTGATTTACGCAACAGCTTGATGCTGTGATGGGAGAACCGTGGGGCAGGGCTTTCCAGAGGAATGAGATCAAATGGGCCCAACCAATATTCTGTTCCTCGCCTTAATCGCTCTCTCGTCTCTCTCCCTCACTCCTCACCAAATGCAGTGGCTGAGTTACTAAATCTGTCTCCACTCTCCTGGGCTCTGATCCAATCTCTCAAAGACACAAGCTTCTTCACATTTCTCCACCAATAGCTCCCACCTCTCACTCTTAATCAACGCCAGTACCTGGCTCAGTTGGTGCGATGTCATCTCGGAGTCAGAAGAACTTGGGTTCAAGCCCCATGTTGGGGTTTTGATATATAGTCCAGGTGAGGGTGGTGCCCAGGTGAGGGCGGGGGGGGTCATGCTACGAGCCTGGTGCTATACTGACTGTGTCTGTACCCTAGGGTCCATGTTATGGAGAGCTGCAGAGAGCGGTGGAGAGGTTTGCTATGTCACAGGGTCAATCACCAGAGGATCTGTACAACATTCCCATCCCCAACTGCGACAGGAAAGGATATTTTCACTCCAAACAGGTATGTGGCAAAGTGTAAAGCTCCCTCTATACTCCCTCCCAGATCAGCGACAGGCGGGTTAGATACAGAGTGAAGCTCCCTCTACACTGTACGTCCGTCCACACTCCCAGGTCAGGGTTAGAGACAGTAAAGCTCGCTCTATACTGGGTGTCCACATTCCAAGATCAGGGCTAGAGATTACATTACATTACAGTAAGTAATGCTTCCTCTACGTTGTGTGTCCACATTCCCAGGTCAATGGCAGCAGGGTTTCGAGACAGAGTACAGCTCCCTTTTCTGCCCTGTTCGCCACTGGCATTGATTGCCTTTCACAAAGACCTGATAAGGCACTATATCAAATGCAAGGATTATTATTATATTCTCTCTCTCCCTCTTTGTTGCAGTGCCACCCCTCAATGCACGGGCAGCGTGGCAAGTGTTGGTGCGTGGACCCCAAGACGGGCATGAAGATGGCGAGTCGTGCGGAGGTGACAGGCGAGGTTGATTGCCAGCGGGCGCTGGCGGAACAGACGAGCGAGTGAGAGCGGGGGAGTTGGGGAGCGACGTCTCCAGGGAGACACACCCAGGACTCTCCCAAGGACTGCACGTTCCCTTTGGTGCTGTTGATACTGAGAAGGAAGCGCTCACACTCACTGCCTCGGTCTAGCTGTGAACTGCTGTATCCGTACCAGCCAGGACCGACCATCTGCCCTCACCCCAGCCAACACTGTGTGCTGCCCAGCTGCTCCCAAACCATCCTCCGCTCCTCTCTGAAATACCCTCTGCTTACAGAGTCCTTCCGCAACACAACACACTCTAGAGGTCTGTTTTTTGCTCACCGTTTTTTGCTTGTTGCTGCGTGAGGGCCCGTCTCGTATTGACGCACCAGCAACGAGACCCTGACCCCAATTACCCCCTCCCCTTTCCCCCATCCCACCCATTCCCCTCCCCGTTCCCACCGCGCTCTCACTATCTCGGGCCAGGCCGTGCGCGCAAAAGACGGAGTCTTGTCTTGTGACTGTGCCCAAGGGTAGGAATCGTTACTCTCGGAGATTCGGAAGCGGAATGGAAATGGTTGACCAGACCAGTGCAGACTGGTCGCCTCTGGGCCATTCTCTCTCTCCATTAGCCTCGTTCGTACCTGGCTCCCCACCCCCACCCCCTTTCACGACGCTGCACCTCTCAGTTTAGCACTCGGATGATTTGGAGGTGCTCAGGCTGTGATACATCGAAAGCTCCTTCCCCCACACCCCTGCCTCCACCCACACACACTCCCCACGAGTTGAGCAGGAAGATTCCCTTTTCCTCAGTAACCGGTGGCTGTTTCTCTGATGTTTAAACCATCTACTCCCACCAGCTCCTCTCACACACACACACACACATGCACACTCATGCTCTCATCACCTTCCCTGCACATAATATACACCCATGTGTATCCCCACCACATATGTCACCCAGGTGTCAGTCTTGCTCAGTTCATGTCACCCTCACCTCTCGAGTAAGAAAGTTTTGGGTTCAAGCCCCCACGTGTATTTTGTAGGTGAACACGGCAGCTAATTTTGCACACAGCGACGTCCGACAGACAGCCATGAAGCAAACGATCATTTTTTAAACTTGGGGGATGTTGGCCTTCTGTTTTTCCAATACCACCTTGAGCGAGATCTGTAATGTCCACCTGTCCAGGTAGATGGCACACGTCCTCGGTTTGGGGGGATGGGTGGGGGGGTTGCAGGGCTGGTGTCCTGTGTGTGTGTGTGTGTGTGAGGGCTTGGCTGGTGTACTCTGTCTCGGTGGATGCACATCTTCAAACAGAAGAGAAACGACACAGGCCAGTGTAACGCTCATCCCTGAAACGATACCTTCATGACTGCGATAATCTCACAATCTCAAAAGTATTTTGTACCTTTTTTTCCTTTTTACGGTCTATTTTACGGTCTGTTGTGAAGCTTTGCTCCAGCTTTTAGTCCAGTCGCCCTGTGTGGCCAAACTTGCCTTTCAAATGTTGTTGCTTTTTTTTTCCTGGTGCAAATTCAGTGTTTGGATGAGGATGCACGGAGTGAGGATTAAGGCTATATTGAGTGACAGTGGATGGAAAGAGGATACACTGACTGAGGTTATATGGAGTGACAGAGTGCAGAATGACGGTGTACTTCCATGAGAAGGTGGGAGAGAGAGGGAGAGAATTGCAGTGGGGGGGAGAGAGAAGGGGGTGGAGAGAGAGACAGGGATGGAGACATGGGACACAGGTGGAGAAAGGGATGTGAAGAGATAGAGAGGGAGGTGGAGAGAGTGTGAATGATGGGAGTGACAGTATATGATAGGAATGAGGGTGCACAGAGTTAGATGCCACAGAGTGAGAGTGTATGGAGTGAGTGATGGGAGTGGAACCACATTAAATAGGTGGAGATGCAGGAACATGACAGGTATTTTGAAGTGTTTATTGTAAAAAAAAAATTTTTTTTTTTTTGCTTGAACATTAATACAGAAACCTTAATTCTGTGCTTTTTGGGACATCTGTTTCCATTTTTTCTGTTTTTTTTAAAATATAATTTTGTAACTTTCTTTGCAAGTATGTGAGTCTTTGGTCAAATGATAGATTAAATCTAACTGTCTCCATTTCCCTAATTCACGAGAGATTTGGATGAAGAAGGTCATTTGGCCCATTTGATCTCATCTTTCCAGAACACCCAACCTACTCTCCTCCCATCATAGCATTAAGCTGTTTTTCAGACAAGTTCCAGTGTTCTGTTCCAGTCGTTAATTACCCTCTGTCTAAAGAAATAGAAATTGCCTGAAATTGCCCTTTGCAACTCTGCTGCCTTAGGGCATCGTAAAATATTATTCTGTCTTCACTTTCTTAGACCCATTTATACACCTCTACAAAGTTCTCTCTGAAATGTCTTCTCTAAAGACTGAAGAGCCCTAGGTTGTCTAATCGCTGCTCATACCACATTCCTGTATCACCCTGTTGCTCTCCTCTGCACTACCTCTCGGGCCTAAGTCGCCCCCTTATGTCGTAGTGACCAGAACAGCGTACACTATTCTATGTGGGGCCTAAATAGGACTTCTGAACTACCAACTGATTTGGCAATGTAGCTCAGCACACTGTTTGCCTCAGTTATGAACATCTCTGTGTGCCTATTTCTCTTCAGTCAAGTTGTCTAATTAACTTGCGTGAGATAGAGCCTACGACACTCTTTTACTGTCAGCTTCTGAGCTGGAGGATTTTTTGGATTCCAGCCCCGTGTGAGGTCCTGAGCTCACAGTCCAGGCAGGAACTCTCAGTCGGTATCGGGGGGAGCATTGTGTTTTTGGAGATGCCATCCTTTGGATGAAACGTCAAACCGAAGTCCCGTCTCCATGTTCTTCCCACGACAACATTGGGAAAGAGAAGGGAGTTTCTCCACCGTGTCTTGTCCAACAATCCACAAACCGCCCACAAACATTGGGAGAATCCTGTTTTTTTTTCAGTAATGCCAATAAGGGATCTTTAACGATTATGTAATTGGGGTCAACGTCCCATCTATAAAATGGTACCTTTAGCAATTCAATGTCACTCTGGACATTGGACATCAGCCTAGACTCTGAGCTCAAGACTCACAAACAACAGGGGCTCGAACTCACAACTTTTGAACTCGAAGTGAGAGCGCTATCAACTTGAGCCAAGCCCGACAGAAACCACTCCTGCTTCCATCACTGCTTTTCTTCTTGCAGTTTACAAATCCCACTCCCCCCCTCCGCCACATTGCTGCATGAGTACGGATTTCCCAGGCTTTATGCGGGTCTTTGTTTGGCTCTTAACAATCTAATCCCGTAGATTTTTTTTTAACGGCCACCGTGTTGGAAAGAGATGAGGAGCTCTGTGTTATTGACTCCGGACAATACAGTCCGTGTTTTGTGTCTGACAAGTCGGGAGAGAGTTGGGTTCCAAGGTTTTGAGACACAGACGAGTTCAGTTTGGCAGGAATCCAGGACATGTGGAAGGATTGGGGGGAGAGGGGAAGAGATAAAATAAATAGATAAGTCAATGGAGCTCATCCTGAAACAACAATATCAATTACACAAGGAGATAAGGAGAGTACAGCCAGCAATCTGATTGGCTCTTTAACTCGCATTAAACGTCCAAAACCTTAGAACAGTGGAGCTCGTGTGAGGCAAGGTCATTGGAAGGACATCTGTTCAATGTCAGCTGTAAACTCCTTTCTGTAGCAGCGGTTCCTTGGTCGTATCAAATGCTCTTCACATCGGAATAGCCTCTGGCTCACACTGAGTCCAGCGACTCCGACACAGCAGGTCTTTCTGTACAGGACGACTCAATGCAGTCATTTTATTTTTGGTGGGGCCGGGTGTCTGACACGTGCGGAAACCCATCACCGTTGCTTAAGACTCCCCAAACCAAACTGAGAATTCCATACATCCCATCTACACATGCAAATCCCAGAGTTAGATTGTTGGATTGTCTCTCTCTCTCTCTCTCTCTCTCTCTCTCCCTGGAGGGACACATCCTGCTTACCTAATTCCGGCAAGTATTAGGCACAGGTTGGCAAGAGCCAAGACTTGGGGCTGGGCCCCAGGGTGTGCGTTGGGGGGAACTGCAGGAGTCTTAACCAGCTAAAACCACATAGCTTGCCGTTGCAGTCGACATTCATGAACGAATAGTGCAATTGTTACCCCATTAAAACAGGGCTCGCAAACAGCGGCTCCCGTTAGGAACTGAAGCCCTCGCTCGATACAGCTTACGCCAGTGACTGAAGCTAGGTTCCCACACGGGTCAATTTCCTGTGCGTTTCCAATCACCGCTGGGCAGAGCCTGAGGTGAGATGGTACAGTCCTTCAGTCTTCACAGTTCCGTGCGTGCCGTGGATAATCCCGAGAATCTGAGCGAGGCTTCCGGCTGTCTTGAGGCTTTGCGCTTCGGGACAGATTCACTTCACTTTGGAGTTTTGTGTGAAGTAAAGTAAATCCTTTCCTTTTGGGATTTCTGGTCCCATCTATAAGCCAGCCACAGCGACCAGCCGCACATCCTCAGCACATTAACCTTAACAATATTATTATTATTATAACCTGCTGGGATGTGGAGTGATTGAAGGCTTCATCCCAGCCGTTTCCCCAGCTCATGTTGCCGTGGAATGTGAGTAACCTCACTCTTGGACTGATGGAAGCTGAGAGCAGAGAGCATTTCCAAAGCAACCCTATTGTTTGCGAGAGCACCTCCCCCACTTCATCTCCCACCTGCCTCCCCCCCCCCCCCCCCCCCCACCCACCGCCAACAGGGATCTATAAATGTGGAGTCGGATTACGGCCTTGAATTCTTTGCAGGAGCCACACCAATCTGGACCCAGTCTCGCTTCCCACCATCTGTCTGGCTTCGATTCAAATCAAGGCCCCAGATGTAAGTGGATAGTGTTTCACAAGGGCCACTGGACTCGGGACTTGTGTCCTGGAATCATAGAATTATATAGCACAGAAGGAGGCCATTCGGCCCATCGTGCCCACGCCGGCTCTTTGAAAGAGCTATCAACTAGTCCCACTGCCCTGCTCTCTCCCCATAGCCTTGCAAATTTTTCCTCCCCAAATATCTATCCACTTCTCTCTTGAAAGTTGTTTTCGAATCTGCTTCCACCACCCTTTGGAGGCAGCGCATGCCAGATCCGAACAACTCGCTGTGTGAAAAAAAATTCTCTGCTTCTTTTGACAACTATCTTAAATCTGTGTACTCTGGTTACCGAGCCACTCGCCAGTGGAAACAATTTCTTCCTGTTCACTCTATCAAATCCCCTCATAATTTTGCACTCCTCTATTAAATCTGCCCCTAACCTTCTCTGTTCCAAGGAGAACAACCCTGTTGACAGTTTTCACTGTGTGGCAACACTATGGGTTTAATGTCTGCCAAGGTTTGACCAGCTGTAGACTTTACAGTAAGTATAAAATATCAATGAAATGGGGCCTTAGTAAGAATAGTTTATTTCGGAGAGCTTGATTTTCAAAGGTTCTGGTGGTTTGTTACGTAAAAACTGAATTCTTAACTCCTCGAAAAACAAAACCCTTTTTTTTTGACAATTTTATTCTCGGGTAAGGTCAGTTCCACCCAGCCTTAACTTGCAAGCTTGTTTTTCGTATCCCCAATTAAATACTGGATTCGGGACATTTTCCGCAGTTCTGGGTGATCTTTAAACTCGTAAACCAAAATGGTCTTGCAAGCTAAGGCATTAAATCGTAATAACAATACTTGCATTTGATATAGCGCCTTATCACATCTTCGAGACAACTCAAAGGGTTTCACAGAATGTACTCTAAAGTGAACTGACTGTGTATTTTGTGGGGAAAACGCAGCAGCCAATTGCGCACAGCAGCGTCCCCACACACTGTGGTGGATTCTTTATGAATTTACACAAAACCTCAGTTTCCTTGACTCCCAGATGGAAGTCTGGAACAATAATATCCCCAAACCCGACTCGATTGATCAGATAAAAGGCTGCTCATTCCTAAATGGTTGTGCCTCAATCCTCCCTCTGTCTTTCAAACTGTCACACAGCTCTAAAGCTTTTCACACTGAGCAACTGATACGCAAGGATCAAGGAGAACTTACATTTTTATTGCGACTTATCATCAATATAGGAAATGCTTGATGAAAAAAGGCCCAAGGTCCATCCAGTTCACCTTCCACCATCAAGCAATCGCATGCACGTGTCATGTCCTGAACTACTCATACACTGTGCCTCCAAACTATTATTTTCTGAAAGAAATTATCCATTTTGCTTTTCAAAGTGAAACCATTCGGGATCAGTTCTGGGGCAGGTGGGACCTGTATAAGGTGAGTGGATGGGTTGCACCTGAACAGGGCTGGGACCAATAATAATAATCCTTGCATTTGATGCAGTGCCTCACCCTCAAAGGAAGGTTAACTCGTGCTGTAGGGGGGAAGAGTTTAAAGTAATTTGGCAGGGGGAAAGGAGAAAAGAGGTGCGCAGAGGATCGGGGAGACGGACAGCATGTATTTCCTTTGCTCTTGGAATAAAGAATAGTCCAAGAGACAGGAGGGATCAGACCAAACAGGCTAAGTCGGTCTTGGAGAGTGCACGTGTGTAAATACATGGAATGTGACAAATAAGGTTGGTGAGCTGCAGGCACGAGTTGCCACATGGGGTTATGATGCAGTGGTAATAATGGAGACTTGGCTCAGACAAGGGCAGGAATGGGAGCTGAATATTCCTGGCTACAGTGTATTCAGGAGGGATAGGGAAGGAAAAAAGGAGGAGGGGTGGGGTGGGGGGCTGGCAGTATTGAGCAAAGATACTGTTACAGCCCTGGCAAGGGATGGTGAGTTAGAGGGTTCAAAGGCAGAATCTATGTGGTTAGAGTTAAAGTTAAGTTGGGCGTATACTATAGTCCACCAAATAGTGGGAAGGAGACAGAAGAGCAAATCTGCAAGTAGATTTCAGAAAAATGTAAAAACAATAGAGTAGTGGCACAACACAGTACGAAATTACATTCATATAGCGCCTTTTACGTCGGAAGGTTGACCCAAGGCAATGATAATGGGGCATTTCAATTCGCCAAACATAGACTGGGGGAAAAAAACCTGTGTAAAGGGCAAGGAGGGGGAAGGATTGCTAAAATGTGTACAGGAAACGTTTCTGGCTCAGTATGTTTCCAGCCCAACCAGGAAGGAAGCAGTGCTGGATCTAGTCCTGGGGAATGAAGTGGGTCAAGTGGAGCGAGTGTCAGTGGGAGAGCATCTGGGTAACGGTGATCACAGTATCATCAGGTTTAGAGTAGTTCTGGAAAGGGACGAGGAACAATTCCAAGGTAAAGATACACAACTGGCCGGGGGCTAATTTCAAAGAGTTGGAAAGGGATCTGGACCCAGGTGGATTGGGAGCCAAGATTGACGGGTAAAACAGTATAAACGAGCAATGGGAGGCCTTCAAGGAGGAGATAGTTCAGGCACAGACTAAATTACATTCCCATTGGAGTTTTAAACGTAGGACGTAAACTCCCTAGAGTTATCTCCACTGCTCCCGAGCAGAGTTAAACCTGCCTTGGGTTTCCCGGGGACTGCAGACGAGGCTGTTCATCTGGTTATTCGCTCAGTGGTAAAGAGCCTGGGGAATTTCCAACAAGCACTTTATTAGGTGATGTTGGAGATATAAGCAGCTTTAAAAGTAGCTGTAATAAAAAGCTAACGTTTTATTAGCCACGCCGAGGACAAAAAGTGTTTTTCTTTTGTTTTTACTGGGAGGCCAGTTTTCAGCCCCGGCGTAAGCTTTTCTGCGGATTTCCAGCTCTTGTTTTATTGTTCCTAAGCCGGCAAGTTCCGGGCCGGAGTCTGCTCTCTGACCCCCCGAGGGATTAAAACCTCCGAAAGTTTCAGTGAACGGATCGGGTTGGAGACGCAAGGGGGCAACGCAGCTCTGGGGTTGTCCTGGGTCTGAGATGTGGCACTGCCAGGCCCTGCGCTACCACTAGATGGCACCGTCTGCCCGCAGGAATGGGACCAATCATGAACTTAGAATTTTACTGCCGAGGTGTCGGCTTCGTTTCCCTTCACGCCTTGGGACGTGAAAGGCGCCATAAGCCACGTCAGTCTGAGCGCTCACTTGATAGCTCTCTCGCCTCTGAGTCACCGCAGGTTGTGGGTTTAAGCTCTCTTCCCCCTCCCCAACCCTCCCCGCCCTCCAGCCCTCCTGATCCCAACCGCCAGCTTGGGTTGCCGATCTCTGATCGTCCAGAGCCTTGAGGCGTCCTCCTGGCCTTGCAAACGTAACGTGTTGTCCTGTGGTTGGGGTTTGGAATCCGTATAGTCTGAACTAAGGCAGACGGGACCTTCGGGTTAAGATCTCAGCTGAAGGAAGGCGCCTCCGACAATTCAGCGCACCCCTCCCACTCCCCCCCCCCCCCCCCCCCCGCTCCCCAGCACTGTATTGGAGCGTCAGAGTCGACCGTGAGCTCAGTGTCCCGACACCGGGCTTCAGTTTCTTTCCAGTAATAATTCCACCGCAGTCACCTCTATCGAAATAAGGGACGATTTGGTTTGGATCACGTCCTTGCATTACAGGCTGCAGCCATTTCTTCACCCATTCAACCCTTTCCGGGGAGACTTTTGCCTGTCTCTCCTCCCCCAACCCCCTCCCCCCCCCCCCCTCCCCCCCTCTCCATAGCAGAACAGGGATCAATCCCAAATGCCAGGACATTGTGACGTCCATTTTTGTTGTGTGTATGTCTGTGTGTGGGGGAGGGGATGTCTGACACACGCAGAAACCCATCACTGCTTAAGAGCGTCCCAACCAAACTTGGAACTCTATATTCCAACCTCAAGAGGCCCCCAACATTTCCCCTCCCTCCACCCCCCCACCTCCCCACAACTTTCCAACAGGACACAGACTTTGCTCAGACCATCGCCTTTTTATTTTTCATATAATTTAAAAATGACAAGAATCCAGTTTCAATCACAGAGATAAATAGTTCAGGCAATTTTTTCCCCCTCCCCCTCCCCCCCCCCCCCCACCCCACCACCACCACAACCTACCTACCGCCCCCACAAACGAGGGGTTAAAAGGTATATGAGCAGAGAATGCCGGGAAACAATTCGCCGACGGGCGAGAATGTCAAATAATTTAGTAAGTCCCTCCTTGTTTTATTTACACAGTGGCGATGGCACACAGGCGAGGCTGCCTCAGCGATCTGCCCATGTTGGTAGCCTTCGACTAAGCCCAGCGCCATTTTAATACACACAACATCCTCAGACACAGGTCAATACAGTACACTACAATTTACATGGCGCCTTTCACGTCGGAAGGACGTCTCAAAGTGCTTTAATCACCATCCTCGGCCTTCTCCTCTTCCCCCACCCCCCTCTTCCTGTCTCTCTCACTCCCTCTCTCCGTTCCGTCCCCCCCTCCTCTCTCACTCCCTCTGGAGCCCGGGCAGAATGCTGGTCACGGAGTTGATGATGGTGGAGGCGGGCTGTTCATGCTGATATTCTGCGAACAGGTGACAAATGTTCTCGGTGGCATTGGATTGACTCTTTGCCACGAACCCGAAGATCCTGCAAAGAGATTCCCACGTTATAAGGCGGTCGGGTCCAAATACAAGTGAGTGTAGAGGTGAGATGATGAAGGGAGAGAGTGTGGAGGGTTGATGGTGGAAGGAGTGAGCGTAGAGTGGAGAGGAGGGAGTGTGAAGGGGAGATGATGGAGGGATTGTGGAGGGAGGAGGAGGGAGGGAATGTAGAGGGGAGATGATGGAGGAAGTGAATGTGGAGCTGAGAGGAGGGAGGGACTGTGGAGGGGAGGTGATGGATTGAGGGAGGGTTGGTTGTTGAATGAGTGTAGAGGGAAGATGATGGAGGGAGGGAGGGAGTGAGTGTAGAGGGGAGATTAGTGGAGCGTCTGTGGAGAGGGTGTGGTTGGCACAGTCACTCCTGTGATCACGTTCCCTCTGGCCGGGCCACAGACACAAACCGACGGACCTCATCGATCATAATCTCACCTTGAGGGCTCGTTGTCCTTTCTCCACCTGGAAAAAGAGAAGGCAAGAGATTGGAGGACAGTATCGCAAGAATTCCTGCCTCTTGCCATTGAAGAGTCCGTCACTGATCAAGAGCCGAGGCTCCAAGAGGTGAGCGCAGCTGGTGACCATCATCAGACCCTGGAACCTCGCCTGGTGCTCGCTCCCCCACTGGCGCTCTCTACTCCAATACCATTCCCCAAGGTCTAGCTGGACCCCTGCCTAGTCACAGCTGTGGCTCACTGCATGAAGAACTCACCGAAGCGAATTAATAAGCCAGAAAGGGCTGGTCTCCCATCACCAATGCCTTGGTCTTATCAGAGCCAGATCAGCGCCAGACACCCCACTCCCCCCACCCACTCCCCCCATAATAATTCGGTCACTCGATGCACGACATGATAAGGCGCTGTGTCAAATGAGGATTATCATTATTGTGTTCAATTCATTGATCTCCCGAGAAACACACAGTCGCTCCACTTTACAGTAAACCCTGCGAAGTGCTTTGGGGCTGTAGTCAAAGCGGTGAATATTCGTAGCGGTGAATATTCCCGGAGTTACAGCCATTACACCCCCACTGCCACCCCACCCCTCTACGTGCTTAGAGTTGCTCTGTTTGTCCTTCGTGACATGTTTCCAGCCAGTCGGCATTTCTCTCAGGCTGGTTCAAACCCATTTTGGGGGCACTTCATGTTCCTTGTGTGCACTATTATCTGTACCCTGGACAGCTGCATTCGTTCCCCACCCACTGAGCATCAGTCTCAACCTGTCGGCCTTCAGTAACTTACTTCCTCTGAAGCGGATCCAAACCGCAGTGATTCACTGTGCCGGCTGTATAGTGTCTTCTGAAGAAGAGCCTGAGGAGAGAGAGAGAGAGAGAGAGAGAGATAGGTTTAGTACAGTCGAGAGCAGAAGCCAAAGAGAATCCTAGCAAAAAGCTGGATCAGTATCTAGTCTTGAACGGGATTGAAGCCTGCGAGCAGACACCTGGATTGTAATGGCTCTTGTGGTGAGAGTGTTGGCCTGGCCCTCGTGCGCAGCGCTCTCAACGATGGACCCGAGGGCTTGTGTGTACAAGTCCCGTGTTAGAGCTCGAGGTCGCATCGGAGCAACAGCTTAGACAATGTCCCAACATGGGGGGGTGGTGGGGGCGTGAGCTCACAACCTTCTGACCGAGTCAGGCTGACGCATGGGATGAAGCATTTCAGTTAGAGACCCCCCCCCCTCCCTGGCCCTGGCTCTCACCTCCTCTTGCTGTCTGTGAGAGTGATGCCCTGCTCGGACACTCTGAACTGGACCACGGTGGCGGGGGGCATGGGCTCCCGCTCCAGGCTCAGCGACGTGGCTTTCAGAATGGCCTGTGGACCGGTCAGCGTCTCCATGGTCACCGAGTTCAGGTACAGGATGTTGAACACTGGAGAGGGAGAGGTCTCGTCAAGGCGTTTGGTGAGGTGAAGGCGACTGCAGCGACGACTTGCGTTTAATATAGCGCACCTCCCCCTCCCCCCCACCCCCACCCCCACTCCCACTCTTCCTCACACAGGGTAGTGTCCCAGAGCGCTTGACAGTGGCGGAGCACCCCGCCAAGCCGGAGGGGGGAAAGGGGGAGTGGTGGGGAGGGCGGGTGAGAGGCCACCGTGGGCACGGTCGAAGAGGAAGGCGCACATTTTACATTTACGCCTTTCACGTCGGGAGAACATCTCAAAGCGCCAGACAAGGCCGGTTGGCCTGAGCTGGAGGAGAGAGCAGATGGGGACGGAAAAGATAATAATAATCTTTGCATTCGATACAGCGCCTTATCACGTCTTCGAGACCTCTCAAAGAGCGCTTCGCAGGATATACCGTAAAGTGAAAGGACCGTGTGTTTTTGTGGGCAAAACAAAAAGACGACCGAAAAGCGCTTCTATTGTCTTCGCAGGCACAAACCGTGCGGTTTGGATGAAGGTTTCGGTGAACGTTTTGGTTGAAGGTTATGTGGGAAGGTTTGCAATGGCACTGACTGACCCCCTACTTCCCCCCCCCCCCCACTCCACCCACACAGGGTGCGACACACGGCTCATTACCTGCTCCGTTCTTCAGCAGTGGAGACGCTGTTCTCTCGGAGGAGTCTGGGCTGTTCTCCTCACTCGAACTCTCTGCAAACACACAACACAGCACGTCAGGGGCTGAAACTCCATAGTCGTGTGATCGCTCCTCCCTCTATCCCTCCCTGAACATGCAGTGAGTGAGGCTGGGGAAGAGGTAAAGGCCTGATTGCCCCTTTGCTTCCCCCCTGTCCCTCTTTCCATCCAATTCCATGTCATAAAATCATAGAATCGTACAGCACAAAAAGAGGCCACTCTCCCTTTTGTACCATGGGCTTCTATTTTTCTTCCAAGTCTTTTATGTGGCACTTTGTCAAATGCCTTTTGAAAGTCCATATAAACTACATCAACCGCACTACCTTTATCCACCCTCTCCGTTACCTCATCGAAAAATGCTTAGATTTGTTAGACAAGAAATCCATGAAGATTTATTCTGTCCCGGGTTATAGTCTCCAGGAGTTTCCACGCTACTGATGTTAGGCTGACTGGCCTGGAGTTCCCAGGTTTGTCCTTCTGTCCCTTTTTGTCCATTGGCCACTCTCTACTCCTCTGCCCCGTGTCCAACGAAGATTGAGAAATTATAGCCAAAGCCTCCGCTATTTGTACCCGTGCCTTCCATAGTAACCTCGGCTGCATCCCGTCCGGACCGGGCGACTTATCTACCTTCAGCCCAGTCAACCTTTTCAGTGCTTCCTCTGTTTATACTTATCCTATCCATTTCCTCTGCCCTCTCCTCCGATACTGCGGCATATGGTGCATCCACTTCTTTTGTGAAGACAGATGCAAAGTACTCATTCAGTACATCAGCCGTGCCCTCTGCCTCCACAATAAGATTTCCCCCTTGGTCCTTAATTGGCCCCACCCTACCTTTGACTAACCTTTTTTTTTCTTGATATGTTTGTAAAATATTTTAGAATACCCTTTAATGTTACTCGCTAACCTTTTTTCATATAAATATAATATAAAATTCATATAAATTTCCTTTAATGTTACCCGCTAAGGAAATGTCTTCCTTCCCATCCACACCCCTCTCTCTCTCTCTCTCTCTCTCGCTCACCCTCTCTTTCTCTCTCTCTAACCCCCTCCTTTCCTCTCTCTACACTCTTCATTTGCACGATTCCTCAAAAGAACTAGTTTCCGCATTAAACCCGATTAAAGAATTTTCCAAACAATTTCGGTTTTAAGGTAATGGTCTTATGGCAATCAGATCACTCACAGTCGTACACAGTCACTTACCTTTTCTGGGAAGGATGAGTTTGCAGGGTAAGGCCATGGGAGTGATGCAGTGCTGGTACACTAGGGCTGACAGACTCCCTGTGAAACAAAAAGAGCCCGAAGTTAGTCCTGGCTCAGTCCCAAGTCATCCAAATAATAATAATAATCCTCGCATTTGATACAGCGCCTTATCACGTCTTCGAGACGTCTCAAAGCGCTTCACGGGATACACTGTAAAGCAAAATGACTATATTTTGTGGGTGAAATGGCCGGGATTTTGACGAAGCGATGACTTAAGTGTTAGTGACAAGTTATCAGGGTCAAGTTGTTAGGAGTTTACCGTACATCCTGTGAAGGGCTTTGGGCCGTTCACCCAATGTGAAAGGCGCTGTACCAAATGTAACCATTATTATTATCGGCTATCTATCTCAACAACAACAACTTGGATTTATATATAACAACAAATTGGATTTATATAGCGCCCTACACGCCGGACGGCGTCTCACAGTGCTTCACAGTAACGGATCCCAGGGCCGGGGAGGGAGATGAAGGTGACCAAAGGCGCGGTCGAGGAGAAAGGTCTTCAGCCGAGACCTGAAAATAGGAAGGGAGTGAGGCGAAGGGAGTGAGGAAGGGAGTTCCAGGGCCTCGGGGCAGAGTGGCTGAAGGCACGGCCGCCGAAGGTGGAGCAGAGAACTCGGGGGATGAGGAGGAGGCCAGACCCGGAGGAACGAAGGCAATGGGTACTGTTTTGAGTAGAGAGGAGGTCAGAGAGGTCGGGGGGTGCAGAGGAGTGCAGGGACTTGAATGCAAGGGTGAGGATCTTGATGTTGGGTGGATATCTCGTCAAGGCTGAGATGGGGCCTTGGAGTTGTTAACAGTGGGCTTGGTGGTAAGGAGATGATTAAACTCGGGAATATGCAATGTCTTTACCAAAGAAAGGTTCCTGGGCCGATCCCTTCAGACTCACGCCTTTGCGGGAGAATTCAATCAGGAAATGTCGGACCTGTTGACTGGGAGAGTCTGGTGGGACACAGAGGAGATAGCACGTTAGGTTCAGGAAACAAGCACGTTACTTTTACTATATACACACACACACACACACACACACACCCCGAGTCATGTACTGGCGAGCAAGTGTGTAAATGTAGAGTGTTTGAGTGAGCGAGATAGCGAGTGAGTGTGTGAGCGAGTGAGTGTGTGCGCGAAAATGAGCGAGCAAGTGTATAAGCGAACGTGCGAGCGAGTGAGCAAGTGTGTGAGTGAGCGAGTACGTGGGCGTGCGAGTGAGTGAGCGAGTATGTGAGTGTGCGAGCGAGTGAGGACTGACCTGCTCTATTGTCAGGGGGACTTCCTGGCGACGATGACGGTGAAGATACTTTCATGGCCAATCCGTAGGAGCCGACATAGGTGGAGCTCTCGCGGACGATGAAGGAGCCCGGCTCCTTGTCCTTTAGTATCTCGATCGCTGTGAGAGACCCAGCGGTTAGCAGGCCTCACCCTGAGCGTCACGTCCGCTTTAAGCGGTGTCCGAGCGCAGAATCCCCCCCGAGAACCTCTCACAGCTCGAGTCCCTGGTCAGTCAAGGAGCTCGACCAACTCTGAAAAGCCTCACTCCCTCCCCTCCCCCACCTCCCTTCCCCCAACCCCCGTCACCGAGAGGAATGTAACCCTCAGGATGGAGTTAAAGCGGTTCCTACCTTGCTCTCTGCTGAGGTTCGGCTTGTACCAGTATTTGGAGGTGTCCTGCACGAATTTGATGCTCGGTTGAGAGTCACATTGGTCTACGGAGAGTATGTTAGAAGATCACGCTTGGTAATGAGGAACTGACAGAGACATGCTACAGCCCACACATGTGTGTGTGTGTGTGTGTGTACCCATGTCCTAATGTGCATGTGAGTTGCTGTTAGTATGAGTGTTTTGTAGATACCACGAGTGACTAATACTGCCCTCTACAGTGTGTCTAACTGTAACCCACTATTAATAATAATAAAACTTCTAATAATAATCTTTGCATTTGATATAGCGCCTGATCACGTCGTTGAGACGTCTCAAAGTGCTTCACGCGATATACTGTTGAGTGAATTGACCTGTATTTTGTGGGCGAAACAAGGCAGTGAATTACGCACAGCGGCGTCCCACAAACAGCCGTGGATTGAGTGACCAAATTCTTATTATTGGCTTTTTTTTGCAGGGATTATTACCCCCGGAAAGCGATCCGCCAATCGACTAACAACAACAACAGCAGCAACAAAATTACATTTATAGAGTGCCTTTCACGTCGGGAGGACATCCCAAAGCGCTGAAACAACAAGATTCCTACTTACTGGTGGGCAAACAGAGGCGTGTGGAGTTAAGGAAACTTGCCTAAGGTGTCACACTGGCCGGGAATCGAACCCAGGTCCTCTCGCTTGCGAGCCTAGTGCTCCAATCACTGAGTTAAAAATGTATGCACCCTCAGGGGCTCTCACACACACGCGCAGGTACCCTCGGTGCATACCTTCTAGCGAGACGAGGCTCGAAGCCTTGAACGATCCAATTGATCCAACATTGAGACCAGGGGGACGTCTTGCGGTGCAATTGGCGTTCGCTTCGGGGAAGTAGCCAGGCGAGGGCGGTGGTTTCTTGTGCGAGTGGCTTTGCCCGTGCTCAGGGGCTCCGTTGATGAGGAGCAGCGGGATGTCGGTGAAGGAGGTGGTGGTGGAGGCCGGGCAGCTGTTGATGTATTGTGGCCTGGCTGCGTTGTGCTGGGAGGTCATCTGCCTCCTCCCAGGGCCCGTGTTGGAGGCACCGTGGTGAGAGAAGGAACGACCAGCACCCCTGGCTTGCGGCGAGGCTTCGTGAAGTCTCTGATCGCTGAAGGAGATCTTGCAGGTGCCGGGAGAGGTGCCGAACGGACTCGACATGTTAACGAAGGACCCGGATGATCCGTACGTACTCCCCGTGGATCTGTACATCCTCCCGTCCTCGCTCAGCAGGGAGTGGGAGCTGTCAATCACACCATAAACCGCGAGTTAGTTACTTAGTTAGTTATAATAATAGTAATAATCCTTGCATTTGAAATAGCCCCTTATCTCGTTATTGAGATGCCAGCGCCTTGGGACGTCCTCTTGACGTGAAAGGCCACCATACGAGGGTAATTTGTTGTTGTTGTTGTCGCCCAACGTGGAGACTAAAGAGAGAGAGAGAGAGAGCGCAGAGAGCAGGGGGATTACGTACCTTCCCAACACGTCTGACCCAGGAGATGTGGACAGCAAGGAGCCAGTGCTTCCAACGTGCATGGAAGGACGAGCGAGCGAGCACTTGTGGATGCTTTCCGAGACCGGAGACATGGAGAGGTAGTTGCAGGCGGGATCTCTAAGGAGGCTGCCGTGGGGCGTGGGGACTAGGATGGGTAATGTGTTCCGCTGAGGAGACGTGGAGAGCGAGTCACTCGGGCTGATACAGAGGCCTCGGCTCTGGTGGGAGGTGCTGTGTGTCGAGGGTCCTCTCGATGTCAAGGCACTCGGGCAAGGGGACATGTCTATATACCGGGATTCTGTAGAGAAGAGACACACAGCTTTAATCTCTATCTATTACCCCGGCCGTAGAAAACATAGGAACATAATAATAATGATAATAATAATAATAATAATAATAATAATAATAATAATAATAATAATAATAATAATAATAATATTAATCCTTGCATTTGATATGCTACTCTGCATGGAGGGCGTAATATAAGTGCAAGTGGTCGCTATTGTTGTTGTTGATGATACAGGGCCTCACCACGTCTTCGAGACGTCTCAAAGCGCTTCACGTGATATACTCAAAGGGAATCGACTGTATATTTTGTGGGCGAAACGCAGGAAGAAGAGTAGGCAAATTCAGCCCCTTGAGCCTGTTCCGATATTCTATAAGATCATGGCTGATTCGTACCTCAAGCCAAATTACCTGCCTTGGCCCCCCTTGATACCCTGACCCAACAGAACTAAGCGGGATATCATCGACCGCGATCGGCTCATCGTCTCTCCATAACCGCTCGGCTGAAATTATGCCATTTCTTAAATGGTGACGTGTGATAACTGTAATTTTCCACCGTTCCTCACGGCCTTGAACTTCAAGACGATAAACTTTAAGGCTGAGACCAGGTGGAATTTTCAAGGCCCTGGTGTTGCTGTGGCAGCTGACACACGTACACACACACACACACACACACAGACAGACACGTGTGCTGATGGCAATTACTCACACCCTCTCTGACTCACTGCTGAGTGTCAGTATCACATTGAGCACGACAGCCCTTTGCCCTGAAAATGTTCAGTGAGGTGGGATCTGCTGACTGTCACTGGGTACAAGGTCGCTGCTTGTGTGCCATCAGACACTGACCCTAATTACCAGCAACCCGCTGGCACCGCTGGTGACTTGCGTTCAGCCTGTTTCTGCTGATTTCACGTGGCCTCAGGCTTTGGTGGCTGAAACGCCTGTCATTCTATGACCCTGCGATTGGCTGCTCAGCACTGAGGTAGATATCATACGCACGTCACTTGTTGTTCATATTCATTTATAGCGCCTGGGCGGGAAAGGTTTGGCAGACTGCATTTAATAATAATAATAATAATAATAATAATCCTTGCATTTGATATAGCGCCTTATCACATCTTGGAGACGCCTCAAAGCGCTTCGCAGGATACACTGTGAAGTGGATTGACTGTGTACGTTGTTATAATAATAATCCTTCTCTTTTCGAACAGAGCCATGGCAGCTTTAACGTCCACCTGAACAGGCAAACGGGACCTCGGTTTAACGTCTCATCAGAAGGACGGCGCGTTGGATTGGAGTGCCATTCCGAATTGTGGAAAGGTGTCCCAAAGTGCCGATGGACCCAGTTGACTGACTCACGCTCGCGCTGACTCACTCCTGCGTGTGAGTAACACACTTAATCCCATAATTTGCCTCATCCGTTGCTTACCCATAGAGGACGAAGAGGTAGGAATGGGAATGTGTGGCTTGGAGACAATGACTGGATGCGAAATGTCCCTGGATAGCGAGGTGGGACCACTCCAGCCATCCCGAGCCTGGCTATATCCCGGGAGAGTGAACTGTGTGGGGGAAAAAAAACACAAAGTCAGATCGTCACATGGTGGTTTGAGAACCCCGGGGCACACGGCAATCATCGCAGCATGTCTGCTTCGTGTCACCCACATGTTATTGGCATGTCGCCTATACTGTCAACTACACGTCAGCAATTAGCAGAGATGGTGAGGAATCCCACGCCACAGAACCTCCTGTAACTCACTTAACGGTGAGATACAGACTGAGTCAGAGTGAGATATACGGTGAGATAGAGTAAGATAAAGAGAGATCAAAGGAGATACACAGTGAGATAGAGTGAGATCTCTGGAACTCCATCCCGCAATCCCTCCGCCTCACCCCTCCCTCGCTTGCCGCCTTCCAGACCCGTTTCAAGACCCTCCTCTTCGACCGTGCCTTGGGTCACCCTCCTATCCCTACCGTCCCCGCCCGCCACCCCTCCTGATCCCAACCACCAGCTCGGGTGCGATTCCCTGACTGTCCAGCGCATTGGGACGTCCTCCTGACATGGAAGCTGCTGTGTAAATGTAATTTATTGTTGTTGTTGAGATATACAGTGAGATACAGTGAGATGAAGAGAGATCGAGGGAGATGCCAGTGGAGACAATCTCTCTGTCGCATTGCCCCATCACCGTACCGTCCTGTGATGGCTGTCGCTGTTGGGGCTCCCAATGTCACCCCGTTCTGGGGAGTCCACTCGGTCCCCTCCGTGGGATATCAGGCTCACGGATTGCTGCTCGTCTCTCCTTCCCGGAGAATCCCATTCATTGTACAGCAGAATTCCTGAGGTTGGGATGAGAAACTAGAATCAGAACTAACAGTGATAGTGTGTGGAGTGGTGGGGGTGGAGGTGGGGGGGGGGGTGTGGGTGGTGGGGAGGAGGTTAGGAAATGGGGTAGTGGGGATCTGGGAGACAGATGTCTAGAATGTGTAATGGGGGCATCCGGGAGCGGGAGTGGCATTAATAATAATGAAAAATAATGATACTAATAAATAATAATAATAATTACAGGCTTCCATCCATAGTGGGTGAGGTTCCTGCTCAGACCCTCGTGTGTGGGAGGGGAGTGGGTGGTTAGAGAGGGTCATGCCTGAGTCATGCCACCACTAGCTGCTGGCACAGGAAATATCTCTGCAATGCGCCACACCCGTTGTGTGACCTCCCAGCCACAGTTGCCATGACCACCCACTCGGAGTTTGCTTTAAGACTTTTAATGGTCTGTGGATGTTTGCTGAGCGAGCGAGCGAGCGAGCGAGTGCTTGCTGAGTGAGATCACACAGCACTGAATGCACGAGCCCCAGGGCTGGGACCTGACTAACGCAAGTGACTGGCTGTCGAAGAGCCACAGCCCATCCTGTTTGTGTTTCAGGCTCTGAGCGGATCCAAAACAAACAGGGAAAAGACATGCTAGCAACCAGCGCCCAACAGCCCATGTCCCCTCACCCACACCCCCCCCACCCATCCCCGCCCCCAGCAGAGGGAACAGGATCTCACTCTGCTAACACAGCCCAGAGCCCAGACCTCCAGCACGGGTTAAAGACAGCGTAAAGCTCCCTCTACATTGTCCGTCCACAGTCCCAGGTCAGGGTTAGAGTCACAGTAAAGCCCCCTTGACAATGATCTGTCCTCTGGAGCCGACATTCACCTGTTCCATCGCTGTCTCCAGGGAATTCCTCCTTGTGTGTGTGACAGTGCGGCAAGGCGGTGACGGAGCTGGAGCTGGTATCGTGCCGGAGGCTATCCCAGGCTCCTCTGACTCCGGTGTTGATGGGCTGGAAAGTTGGGTCCAGCTCCAGAATCAGGTTGTTCAGATTCTCGATGGTGGCATCTAAGGACGGTGACGATGCCTGATCCCCTGGGTTCTGGTCCGCATCTGACCCCTTCCTGAAAAAATTCCAAGCCTCTGTCTGCTCGGGCTCCTGTGGCGTCCGGTGATAATCGCCAGCTGCTCGCTGCAGCACGGTGTGAGGGCACGGCGACGGGGGCTTCTGCCCGTAGGCTGACTTGACAGAGAGGGTCTGGTGAGGGTTGCTTGGGTGGTACGGTTGATAACCCAAGTTCGAGGCAGGAGGGGACATAGTCACTTGCCGGCAGACCCATCGCTCTGCCGGACGCTGGCTGTAGGCATTGGTCTGGGAGACGGTGACGGAGCCGGGATAGACCACGTTAGTGAAAGCCCGGTTCATTGAGGAACCATTGAGGACCATGGACTCCGGCCAGTGACCTGCCCTGGAGCCTGGTGACTGCTCCAAGTGTAAGGTGTGGACTGACATGGCGGCTGACAATGAGCTCCCTTTGCTTCAGCAACTCTACGCTGGTGCCGTGTGCTCCTCAGCTGACTCCCCACAAGACACCCCTCTCTTCTCCAACACTGAAGCCGAACTGGCCCTCTCGGTTCGGGAACTGACGGAAGTAGGGAATCTGGGAACCTGGGAAAGTGGGAGAGAGAGAGAGACACCGAGTGACTGACCTGACTCGACATTTAGAGGCCGTTTACATTTCAAGTGTTTCGCCCACGAAACATATGGTCAATTCACTTTACAGCGTATCCTGTGAAGCGCTTTGAGACGTCTCGACGATGGGATAAGGCTTCAGCAACGATGGGATAAGGCGCTGTATCAAATGCAAGGATTATTATTATTATAACACCCTTTACTGCTCAGAGCTTCACTCCTTGGATGCGTGGCTGTTGAGGCAAAAGGCAGGGCACTGAACGACGGTAAGGAAAGGGTTGAGGACTTAGTCATTCTGGTGTCGATTAGCTGTAGACTGTGACACAGCCCCTATTACCTGCAGTGAGATAATGAGCAGATTGTCTTTAAGGACAGTTGTAAAAGTTAAGCCGTGGAAGTTTACCGAGTGACTAAATATAGGCTTTAATCAGATCCTGGGATAAATCCCCACTCCATGTTGTTGGGACAGCCGCTCCCCAGCTTCGGAATCTCTCCCGAGGGAGAGGAAACAGCAGCTTATCTCTCCATACTTTCCCTTCCTGACCTCAGACCTCTAATGTCAACCACACAACCAGTCTTCCCCTTCCCTTACCTCTCTGTGCACTTTAGATACAATTGCTTTGCCCACAAAATACGCAGTCAATTCACTTCACAGTCTATTCCGTGAAGCGCTTTGAGGCGTCTCGAAGATGTGATGAGTCTCTGAATCGAATGCAAGGATTATTATTACTATTATAATTAATTCATTGCTTCCGTCCTCACCTCAGCTTCTTTTTCGCCACAAAAAAATTCCTTCTGGGACGGCCTCGGGAACTACCCCTCGCTTCCGTGCCGTCGATCCACGCAAAGCGCTTTCGTCCTAATTAATGAGACCGACGAGACTCGCAATAGGATTCAGAAAGCAAAAGCAGAACAAGACTTGCAGAAACACTGAGGCAGCAGAACCACAGGGCACGTTCCAGGGTGTGAAGGGCAATTTAACACACCAGGAAGGATTCCTCTACAAAGATGATTTACTGGCTGGAATTGGTTGCCAGAGGGTTGAAGCCAGGACTTTGGATTCACTTAAATGAAACAGCCTGAATCAGAGACACTGCAACTTGTAGTGTGTGTCCTGTGAAGCGCTCTGAGACGTCCTCCCAACATGAAAGGCGCTGTATCGAATACAGGAATCATTATTATTATTATTATTATTATTTTTCCATTCACAATAGTTTCAAATGAAGCAAAGCCTTGGTCAGGGTTCTGCTCTGAGATCTGTATCCTGACCTACCTCGTTCCATCGCACTGATTTTCCCAGTGATTAAGATATTGACGGGTTACAATCCAACAAAATACATTTGTACAGCGCCTTTCATGTCGGGAGAACGCCCCAAGGCACTGGACAGTCAGGGATTTGGACCCAAGGTGGCGGTTGGAATTAGGAGAGGTGGAGGACAGGGAGGGTAGGGGTAGGAGTGTGACCGAAGGCGTGGTTGAAGAGACTGTCTTGAGACATGGCTTGAAGGAGGCAAGGGAGGGAGGGAGGTAAATAGGGAACAAAAATTTCCTTCCGATGGGAATCAGAGACGAGGTGAGCCATAGTCCTGGGATTGTTAGTGTTGGGAGAGAGGTGAGAAGGAATCCTTTCATCCAGAGCCTGGTCAGGGTTTGGAATTGATGATCGCATGTGGCTACTGATCAAAAAACAAAGTGCCAGGAGGAGAGAGCATGGAAATAATGAAAGGTTATAATCCTGGCACGGATAAAATGAATGGCCTCCTTATCTGTTGAAAATATTGTTGTGCCTTTGTTAGCCTGTGACTCACTCTGGAAATAGCTGCGGAGCAAAGCTTGAGTTCCTGCCATTGTCATAGGGTGAGGATGTCAATGGCTAGAATTGGCTGCATCCCGAGGGAGGGAGGGAGAGAGGGGGCTGGGGCGGGGGGCAGAGGGGAGAGAGACACGGAGAGGGAAAGAGGGGCCCCCACTCTGCTTCTCTGAACTGCCGCTGCTCAGCACTGCTTACTGTTCACACACGGACGTTTCTGACAATTGGAGGAGTTTGTTCCAGCTCGTGAGCTTGTGCAAGGAACTCACACTCAGCACAGAACATGCCTTACCACGAGTCAAGGATAGATACAGTAAACCTCCCTCTACACTGTCCACCCACATTCCCAGGTCAATGGCAGCACGGGTTAGAGACACAGCAAAGCTCCCTCTACACTGTCCAACCAGCACTCCTCTTTTCAGATAACATCATGTGATGTTTAACGTCCAACTGAACAGGCAGACGGGATTTTGGTTGACGGCCAAATCAGACGCGCTCATGTCAAACCAGCTTGAATTAATAATAACTAATCCTTGCCTTATCCCGTCATTGAGACATCACAAAGCACTTGCACTGTCAGTCCAGATTGTGCGACTTCGAAGTCCTTATGTGGAGTTTGCACCCACAGCCTTCTAACTCAAGCAACAAACTGAGCCAAGATGGATACCAGGTGCCGACAAAGATAAGCAATACTGACCCTTTCCAGTTGGAACTTTGAGTGAATGATTTACCGAATGTTACAGCCCCACGTCACACCATTCTGCTCAGCAAAACCCAGGATGTTTTTCTCCACAAAACGCCTGATCTGATCCCACTCCCCAGACCTTTAATATTTCTATTTTTCGGATATCGATACCTGTTTCCTTTTAAAATAAGCGTTGGTGGGGGGAAGAGGGGGTTTTGCATTGCTAGAAGTATCAAACTCAGGTCCCGTCTGTCTGTTCAGGTGGATGTTAAAGATCCCATGGTCTATACGAAAAGAGAAGGGAATTTCTCTCTCCCGGTGTCCTGGCCAACAATCCCCCCAAAATAAAATTGGTAATTCACATCTAGGCTGTTTGTGGCACAAATGGGCGCCCGCTTTAGTGTATAAGTACACAGTCACTACACTTTACAGTAAATCCTTTGAGACTTCCTCTTGATGAGAAAGGCACTGTATCAAACGCAACGCAATGACTATTATTATTATTATTAATTAACACCACCTCAACAATTTGATAATACTAATATAATATCATAATAATCCTTACATTTGACACAGTGCCTTTCACACCAGGAGCACGTCTCAAAGCGCTCAGCGGGATTCTCCGTAAATTATAGCGCTCTGGGGCGCTAACCTGCGTGTGGGGTGCTATATAAATGCAAGTTGTTGTAGCGACTGTGTGTTGTTTCTCATCCTTTGCATAAAGACATCTTTTCTAACCTCCCCTTTAATTCTTACATTGTTCTGAGACAAGGCACAAGCTCCCTTCTCTTCACCCGCTTCCCTTTCCCCTCTCCCCAACCCCCCCACCCCCACACACATACATACATCTGGCACTCCACTGCAGGCAGGTGACTGCTCAGAAGTGCACACAGCAGCTGCAGTAAGCCCTGGAGCGAAGGGTGGGGTGAGTGTTGCTTTGCCAAATTACTTGTTACCTGTGCGAACGAGAGACTTAGAAGCAACGCACAGTGCACATGTCCTGCCTCGCAGGCTCCCGTGTCGCACCAGCTTGAAATAATAACAATTAATCCTTTTATATTCGATACAGCGTCTGATCGCGTCTTCGAGACGTCTCAAAGCCCTTCGCAGGATGTACCGTAAAGTGGAGTGATGTGTATTTTGTGGGCGAAACGTGTAGAAGGTGCGAGTTTGGATAAGTGTCTCCCTTCTGATTTCTTTTTGACGCCCTTACATTCCTCGCTCAAAAGCAGGGAAGCTCCCGACTTTCTGTTCCCCCGGGGGCAAAGCGTGCCAACCTGGTGAGCTCAGTGGGTGGCACTCTCGCCTCGCAGTCAGAAGGTTTCTGGGTTCAAACCTCACGGCGGGACTTTGAACTCCACACAGTCAAGGCTGAATCTCCAGTGCAGCGCTGGGTGAGGGCGGAGGGGGGGGGGAGGGGGTGGATCAGCCCTGGATTCTCAAGATGTCGTCCTTCAAATGGTCTCTCACCTAACAGCTGGTTGTGGGCCATTCCTGCGTGCAAATTTGCTGCGCGTTTGCCCACAAAACGCACAGTCCGGTCACGCAACTTTAGAGCAAACACTGAGAAGCGCTTTGAGACGTCCTCCTGACGTGAGAACGTGACAGCGACGACAACAACAACAAGGACAACTTGCATTTATATGGCACCTTTCACCCCGAATGAGCGTTCCCAGAGCGCTCGGACATAAACGTAAGGATTATTATCTCTCGCGAGTCACCCAACCCAGGTTAGCCTCGTATCAAGATAACGTTCCCACTCGCGGGAGTTGCTGTGGGATCTCAGGCCCGAGGGTTGTTAATCAGTTGCCGTTACCGGGCGCCAGTCAGTCTGACACGTTAAATACCTGTTCTTTCACAACAACAACAGCAGCAACAACAAAACTACATTTGTATAGCGCCTTTCACGTCGGGAGGATGCCCCAAGGCGCTGGACAGACAAAGAGTTTCGGACCCGAGCTGGGGGTCGGGATCGGGGAGTGTGGAGGGCATGGGGTGGGGAAGCAAGGAGATCGAAAGCACGGTCGAAGAGGAGGGTCTCGAGATGGGTCTTGAAGGAGGCAAGGGAGCGGGGAAGGCATTTAGAGGGTTCATTTGGAGAGTGACCTTCGTTTAGGGTAACGCACAGGCAGGCACTGACATAGGTTCTGCCACCACTTACCCCCAGGGCTATGCAACCTGCAGTGGTGGGGGGGTGCGGGAGGTGGGGGGGATTTTGGGAGGGTGGGAGTTTCAGCTTATTCTCTGCTCGGATTAGGCTCTCGCAGGGTCACATGTTGATAATAATAATAATCCTTGCATTTGATTCATCGCCTTAACACATCTTCGAGAGGTCTCAAAGCGCTTCGCAGGATAGACTGCACAGTGAGATGACTGTGTATTTTGTGGGCGAAGTGCGCACAGCAGCGTCCCCACAAATGGTCGTGAATTGAGTGACCACATTTTTTTATTTTTAAAAACATTTTTTTAATCGACTCTCTCTGCCGTAGGTGAACAACGTTCACACCAGGTTGTTTTGGGTGGTGGTGGTGGTGGGGAGTGGGAGAGAGAGGGGAATTATTCTTGGCTCATTTTAGCTGCCGCCTTCTTCCACGAAGCACACAGTCACTACACTGGACAGAAATCTCTGTCCGGCGATTTGCTGAGATAAGGCGCGACAACAAACACAGTTATTATTACAATTCGAAATTAAATCACAAGAGACTGTCAGCAAAGTATCTCGCCAACACGACCTGTCACTCGCCACACAACCAACAGCTCCTCAACAGCAGAAACAACATCAATAAACCTCACCTTCCTGACCGTGGCTCCCAATATTACATGTTAATACAGGCTCGCTCCTCTCGATGTGATTCTAGGTGTGTGTCTCTCTCTGTCTCTCTATATCTGTCTCTCTGTCTATCTCCCTCTGCCTCTATCTCTGCCTGTCTAGCTCTCTGTCTGTCAGCCCATCTCTGTCTCTGTCTATCTCTCTATCCCTTACTCTGTGAGTGTTTGTGTGTCTATCTCTCTCTGATTCTCTGTCTATCTCTCTCTCTCTCTGTCTATATCTCTTTCTGTGTGTGTCTCTCTCTGTCTTTCCCTCTCTATCTGTATCTCCTTCTGTGTGTGTGTGTGTGTGTCTCTCTGTCTATATCTCTTTCTGTGTGTGTCTCTCTCTCTCTGTCTCTCCACAAATTTACTTTCACATAAATGACATTCAATAAGTTTCCATTTAAAAACAAAAAAAGAACTCTTAACCACAGATTTACCTTTCGCAAACCAGACCGAATCCTGATGTGCTCCAGTAATGATTGCTGCCAGGTCTCAATATCACTCTCTCTCTCTCTTACAGACACGTGCGAAGCCTTTCAGCCTCCGGTGACAATAAGTTCCTTCGACACAATCCAAGTTCATTTAAATCAATCCTGCCCTTCCGACTATCTGACTGTACAGGCTGTACGACTGGCTCCAGAGGGAGGGAGAGGGAAAGGGAGTGTCCAAGTTGATCATTGCAGATCCTGACCTGGCACGTTGTCAAGTTGCCTTGAAAACGCTCTATTTATGAGCTCCTGCAAAACACCATCACAAGATCACTCCATTGGTTTGGATGATGAAGAAGGCTCTTAGGTCCATCCGCTCTCAACCCACCTTCACTTCCTCCCATCACAGAATCCAGTCCCAGTGTCCCGGCCTCAACCATCAGAAATTATTATAATAATTAATAATAACAACAACAACAATAATAATAATCCTGGCATTTGATACGGCGCCTTACCACGTCTTCCAGACGTCTCAGAGCGCTTCACAGGATATACGGTGAAGTGAATTGACTGTAATATTTTGTGGGCGAAACGCGGCAGCCAATTGCGCACAGCGGCGTCCCACAACAGTGGTGGATTGAAGTGACCAATTTATTATTAATATTATTTTTATATAGGAACAGAGGGCCATTCAGCCCCTTCGAGCCTGTTCCGCCATTCTATTAATTAGATCATGACTTATCTGTACCTCAACTCCATTTACCCACCTTTGCTCCATATCCCTTGATACCTTGACCTAACCAAAATCTATCCACCTCAGCCGTGACAATTTCGATTGAAATTATTCCAGTCATCAATTACATTTGCGTAACATCTCTGTCTCTAGATAGTCTCCTTATATTGCAGTGACAGCAATACGTGCAGTACTCCAGCTGTGCAATCTCACCACGTGTAAGGTAATAATAATAATATTAATCTTTGTATTTGATATAGCATCTTATCACGTTGTTGAGATGTCTCAAAGCATTCCATGGCTTATAGCCAACTGCAAACAGCAGTGTCTGCAAAAATAGTTGTGGACTGAGTGACCAAATTTTATTCTGTTATTTATTTAATTTAACTAAGATTGTTAAATTTGCACGTGGCAGCGAGTTCAGTGGACTTTGGAATCATAGGAGACAGCAAAGAACCTACAAAATGAGCTTGATAGGGTAAGCACATCGCCTAATAACTAATAATAATAATAATTCTTGCATTTGATATAGTGCCTTATCACATCTTCGAGACGTCTCAAAGTGCTTCATAGGATATACTTTAAAGTGAATCGACTGTATATTTTTGTGGGCGAAACGTGTACAGTCTAGCAGACTAGTATATTAAGTTCAATGTAGGAATGCAAGAGTCGGAAAGGCATATTATGTAGATCCTGGATCTAGGCAATTGGCAACAATAATTTCACAGGTTGGAATCTCCATAATAACTTTCTCTAGCAAACCAAAAGTGAATTAATCCGTGGTTGAATGAGTGAGTTAGTGAATCAATGAGGGAGAGATGGTTAGTCACCAGTGTGTGAGTGTGTGTCTCATAGCTATCTCTGAGCTAATCATTGTAGGTATTATCTCTGACTTAAGTTCAGTCTTGACTGAGGGCCTTGGCCGCTGACTCACTTGGTGAGATCACTAATTTGGAGGCGACAATGTTGAGACAACCGGGTCTCTCTACAGACACAACCATAACGGGGAAAAGTTTCCTCCTCTTGCAACACTCACTTATGAAACTAACCACTGCTAAAGAACCATTACTGGAGGCTGGTGAGCAAGTGAGTGAGCTACAACAACAACAAACTTACACTTATAGAGCGCCTTTCACGTTGGGAGGAGGTCCCAAAGCGCTGGACAGTCAGGTGTCGGGGCCCGAGCCAGGGGAGGGGTTGTGTAGGGGTGAGGGAAGGCAGGGAGGTGGGAGAGAGACCAAAGGCACGGTCGAAAAGAAGGGTCTTGAGACCGGCCTTGAAGGATGCAAGGGAGGAAGCGAGGCGAAGGGACCGTGGGGTGGAGTTCCAGAGTGTGGGGCCAGAGTTTTGGCTTTCAAAATACAGGCTGCAAGCTGGTAGAGCTACATATAGAATAACAGCTTCTATGTTTGCCGCTTTCTGGGATGGAATGATTTGACGCAACAAACATGATTTAATAACAACAACAATAATGATGATGATAATAATCCTTGCGTTTGATATGACGACTTATCACCCCATCGAGAAGTCTCAAAGCGCTTCACAAGATTTGCTGCAAAGAGCATTGACTGTATTTGTAGACGAAAGGAAATCGCAAGGTTTCTTTAAAAACCCAATTGGTGATATTTCGAAATCCCTCCAACTTATAAAAAGCTCTGCAACGCCCCCTATGAGATATCACTTTACAAGCCAAGGAGCCTTAGTTAATCTAATCATTGCGCATGATTTTGAGCGCTTTGAGACGTCTCGAAGACATGATAAGGTGCTAAGCTGTGTCAAATGCAACAATGATTATTATTATTATTATTATTATTAATATAATAAGATCATCCTCATTGCTCTACTCTGCACTGCCTCAAGGATTTGGGCATTCTCTTTTGTCAAGTCATCCAAAACTGTACGCGGTTCTCCTGATGGGATCCCGTCAGAACATCACCCAGCCTGAGTACAATCTTCTAGGAATCTGAACTCAACTGGTGTGGCAATGTACCCAATGTCCACACGATGTTTTGACACAATGATTTGGTTGGTAACATGGCAGGAAGCCGAGAGGCGTAGAGGAGGAAAGGGATCTTAGGGAGTTTTTTATTCGTCAGACTTTAAAATTAGCAGCACAGATGGACAAGGCCATAAATAGCACAAATTGAGTCCCTGGCGTTATGTCCAGAGGATAGAGTATAAAAATAGGAAAATAACGTTACACTATATAACGTTGGATAGACCACATTTGAATATTGTATACATTTAAGTGCTCTACCCGGCTTAAAGGGGTGTTATATAAATGCAAATTATTGTTGTTGTTCTGATCACCCGTATTACTGGAAGGCTTTGTGGCATTGGAGAGAACGCAGCATAGATCTACAAGGATGTTACCAGGGATGAGTGGATTCAACTACCAAAAAAAATTATTATTATTGTTAATAACTCTCTCCCGGAAATGTGGTTGAAGCAGAAAGGATCAATGTATTTATAGGAACGTAGGAACAGGAGTAGGACATGCAGTCCCTTGAGCCTGTTCCGCCATTCTATTAAATCATCTGTACCTCAACTCCATTTACCTGCCTTTGCTCTGTATCCCTTGATACCTTCAGACTCGGAGTTTAAGCAGAAACTTGATGAATAAATACTTGATTGAGAAGGAAATAGAGGTGTGTAGGAGAGGGGAATAATAATAATAATCCTTGTATTTGATACAGTGCCTTATCACTTCTTCAGAAGCGCTTCACAGTTACACTATAGAGTGTAGTGACTGTGTGTTTGGTGGGCGAAACAGCAAGCGTGGTCTTAAACACTGGCATGGATTCGTTGGGCTAAATGGTCTGTTTCCGTGCTGTAACTTTCTGTGTAATGGGATGAGTGTTTAGGTGACTTATTGAGGATTGTCTCCAATGTCTTTCAACCCCTCTGGCCTCACCAATGGTGCTGTCACCGTTGTGTAACACTCCCTCCACCATTGACTCACTGGGAAGACAGGAAAGATTTCCTTTAAGGGCCATGTTTTCAGCCCAATCCGTATCCTTTGGGTGCCGACGTAAAGGTTTGGGTAACACTTTCAGCCACAGTGTTCTGAGAAATCTGTCCAAGAAAGAGATCTTGTCTAGTGCAGTGCGATCGATGCCAGCAACAGGCTGGCCAAGAGCCATGGCTGGCAATTCCCGTTGTCTATAGACGATTCCCGTTGTCTATAGACTTACTGTAAAAGCAGATCTATTCTGAGAAGCAAACAGAGACGTCTCAGCCCTCTCCTAGTCTGCAGGCTACATCACGCAGAGCTTCTAGTCACCAGTGAACAGACTTCACTTCCCGTTCACACTGTGTCTGCCTCCTCTCCTTCCCTTTCCAGCTCCCAAACTCCCCTTAGTTTTAGCTTGTCTGAACATTTAACTTATGGTAACAGGTTCCCTCGGGAGACGGCGAAGGCAGAAACTGTTGTTTGTTTCGAGAACAAATTGGATAGATTTCAGCTAGAAAACCATATCCCGGGATACAGCATAGAGTTTGAGACGTGACATGTCAAGCGACTGCCAGGATGATGGAAGGCAAACTAGATGGCCCTTGGTTTTCTTTTGCCCAGAAAATTCTTATGTTCTTATTGGAGATGTTAAAATTCTTAAACCGGGGCTCGATTTGCAGCTCTTTTTTCTGCAGTTCTTACGAATGACAATCGCTGTGTTTTGTATCGCACCTCTGATGCCAAATCCCTCAAAGCACTTTGCTGCCAATTCCTGTTCAGTGTAATGACTGTGTATTCTGTAGGCAAAGCAGAAGATATTTTGAGCTTAACACAAAGAGCCAAAACGTCAATGATCAATTTGTTTAGAGGATTATCAGCTCTGACGCTAGAAGAAGCTTAAAGGTGTAGTGAAAAGTCACAAGATCTTTAACATCCATGTGAACGGACCATATTTACAAGCTCACAACTAATAATAATAATAATTCTTACATTTGATACTGCTCCTTTCACGTCAGGAGGACATCTCAAAGCACTTCACAGGATTCGCTGCAAAGCATAGTGACCGTGTGTTTTCTTCGCTCACTTGCTGTAACCTGGGTGGTATTTGGCAGATGAAACACGATACCGACGAGACTGGAACTGGAGCAAGTTAAACAAATAAATGGCCCTCAATAGAAATAAAAATGTAATATTTGCAGCCCCCTGTCTCGTTGAAACGTCTCGGAATGTTTCTGTGATGAAGGGCCTAGGATGGACGGCTATTCTGGCGAAGGGGCCACTATATATTGTAACCATATAACTGTTTCATTGCCCAAGTCTCTGCCCCACTCGCTTCAAAGCCACTTTTGTTGGTAGGTTTTAGCATCAGTGGCTGAGAGTTTTGAACGGTTTCCTGGCTCTGAGGCAGCGACCGCAAATCCACAGTCACTGCACTTCACAATAAATCCTGCGAAGCGCTTCGAGGCGTCTCAACGGCATGATAATACGCTGCATCAAATGCAAGGATTATTATTATTATAATAAATGTATTGTATAGTCTTGCCTCAGTGACGTCTACCAGTCCCCAAAGACTGAGGCTTATGAGAAGTAATAATGCAACAACAACAATAATAACAATATAATCATAATAATGGTGAACCTCATCCATGAGCTGCAGCACATGTACACACACGTGTGACAGCCCAGGCCTGGAGGAGTCTGGTTTGCAATTTTGCCCTAATTGCTG